AATGATTTAAATTTCTTCATGAGTGATATAATTATGTCTTCCGGTAACCATCTTTGGATATGTATTACTCACAACAGAAACTGTGTACAGACATTGTTTAGAAGAGTTCAAACACATTGTAGCACACCAGAGTTGAAAAGAATGGAAGAAAAATACTAACAAACGGTTTTCAAGAAGAATGGTTATCCAAAAAATTTCGTCAAAAAGTGTTTAAAGTCGAATCAAAGCACCAACAAAGAACCATCACCAAAGACCAAAAAGAAGTTCATCCTACCATATATCAGAAATATCTCTGAAATAACGGCTAGAATAATGAAACCGTTTGATATAGATGTAGCACACAAACCAGCTGAATCGCTTAATTCGATCTTATGCAAACCAAAAGATCCAACAGAAAAAGGAGATAAAATTAACACCATTTACAAAATAAATTGTATGAACTGTAACAAACATTACATCGGCCAAAGTGGGCGTCCCCTTCGAATAAGAATCCAGGAACACAAATCAGTTGTGACAAGACATGATATAAATTCTTTAGTATCAATGCATACAGACGATTTTGGACATCAATTTCATTGGGATAATGTCAAAACCTTAGACAGAGGAAACACCAAATGTGCCTGGGAATTCCTAGAAGCCTGGTACTCAAACGAAAATGCAATTACTAAGCACGTTAATATAGATGAAATATACCAACTAATAAAAAGTAAATCAAGTGATCAGAAAGTTTAAAATCCCAATCAATAGAAAACGGTCAATACATATCTAAATATGGTTACCGGGAGACACAATTATATCACTCATGAAGAAATTTAAATCATTTCACTTTATCCTAAATACTGTGCTGAAGATGTCGTCCAGAAAGACAATGAAAACTCTGCAACTAAACCAACCAGCTCAGAGAACACTATTAATTGCAAATCATCCGCCTGAGTTACAAATCTTTCCTATCATTACAAATATCTTTTATTGTGATATTAAACAATGCATGCATATACTTGGAAATCAAAGGTGAAATGAATTCCCCTGAATAAAATGGTTCAAATACTCATTATTCATGGAGAAAATGTTTAGCTCAAGTGGAAGTGTTTGTAGATCGCTTGCTGATTCATTTGAGTACCAGGTTTCTAGGAATTCCTTGACTGCATTTTTTTGGTGTTTCCTCTATTTAAAAGAGCTGAAAAGCACTACAGCACTATGGTGTTGAGAGGAATGGGCACAAAAATACTTATTAACCGTCTTCAAAAAGAGGAATGGATATCCTGACAATTTCATCAAAAGATGTTTAAAGGCGAGTCATGACACTAACAAGAAACCATCATCAAAGACTATATGAAAATTCATTTTTTCATGTATAAAAATATTATCTCTGAAATAACAGCTAGAATAATAATCCACTCAACACAATCAGTTCATTCAATATTGTGCAAACCAAAAGATCCCATAGACAAAGAAGATAAAATCAATAATATTTACAAAATGAATTGTATGAACTGCAATAAACATTGCATTGGTCAAAATGGGCATCCTCTTAATGTCCAAATGCAAAAAGATAAATCAGCTGTGAAAACGGACGATATGTTTTATTTCATATCAATGTATACAGATAATTACGGAAATCAATTTGATGATTAGGTAATGGGGAAATTTTGAAACAGAGGGAACACCAAAAATGAAGTCAGGGAATTCCTAGACAGCTGGTACTCAAATGTTTCAGCCAGCGATCAACAACACACATTACCTATAGACAAAATTTAACAGCTAATAAAAAAGAAAGTTCTAATTCCAGGTCAATAAAAATTATCAGTAGGGATGCAAATCAACCACTAATCACGACAATGGTTGTCAGGAGACGTAATTTTATTATCATTCATGGAGAGAATTCAAGTAAGTTCATTTCATGCTAAAACGTGAGCTGAAGCGATGTTTTCGAGGTGAGGGACGACAAAAGCTTCACATTTAAGTCAACCAGCTCCTCAGAGAACACGATTAAGTCGAAATCATCCACTTGAGCTGAACATTTTCTCCATGAATAATGCGTATTTGAACCATTTCATTCAGGAGAATTCATTTCACCTTTGATTTCCAAGTACATGCATGTATTCTTTAATATCAGAATGAAAGATATTTGTCTTGGCAAGATTTACACTGGTTCAGTGCATAGACGAAGAGAATCTTCCAGAAGCCACTAACAACTTTCCAACACTGTACATTCAACTATGCATTATTTTAAGCTTAAAACTCATAGTAACTAATTAAGCTACTTGAACTACTATTCTCTACTTTAGATAGAAGAGAGATGGTGACAGTAGTGTTACAACACATTGAATAAGGTTGTCCATGATGTATTATTATTATTATTATTATTATTATTATTATTAAGTTTACCTACGGACACATTGATGAAGGTGAGTGGAAACTATAGGCACATTAGTAAATAAATAAATAAATCAATAACGTGAAAATTTAAAAGGTAATAAGGTCATCACAACGTTATTTTACTCTCACTACTACTACTACTACTACAAGTGGACAAGCTAGTCAGTCACTTTTACTTCTCTTTCTTTTAATTCAGAAGAGACATTAAAACAAACAGACAAACAGAAAATCATTCAAATAGAATCAGTATGAACAAGATTTCTACTTAATTACAATGTAAAAATGGGTTTTGTCTTTCATGCTCAGCTAATGTAATAATCACACTGTTTGAGGTCAATTGGATGATGACAAGAGAGAAGGAATGTGTGTAAATGAGTAGTATTTTATTTGTAAGATAATTCAATAATAAGTTAGCAGTAACAAGATCTTTTTAATTAGGTAGAAGAAACACTAGACGTTACGCTGAAGTGATCATCTAATGGAATATTCAGTATTATTATTACATTTGTTCCCTCGCTTTCCGAGTGTAACATGAAGCTTCAACAAGACATCTCTGCTTTGTTCTGTTCTCTGCTGTCCTGTTCAGGTGACTAGCCACACGATTAGCCGCATTGAGCGCGATGTTATTCGACGGGCGGTTCAGCGGCATTAACCCGATGGACGTCCATTTTCACCTATTTGTTTTCTTGAGCGATCGGCTCTTGATTTGGTTTGATCCACTGGAGAGTTTTATGGTGCTGATTCTTTCTGGCTGGATGGCTGGACGGCCATCCTACCTTCAGTATGTTGCTGGAGAACGCAGTTGTTGACACAGTTCTGTAACTTGTTGTGTGAAATGCTTTTTGTGACACATCGGCCAATTTTCTTACCTGTATAGAAGAAATGACTGATTCCGCGTTTTATTTTTGAATACTAATTTTGTTTATTATGCCTCTGTTTGTTAAGTAGGTTTCTTGTTTTGCAACTGTTCCGATTTCCGGGTTAAGTGGGAGCTTCGTGCGTGGGGCTAGCGACACTACGCTACAAAACCATTTACTGTCTAGATAAACTTCAGCCCACTCTACATAAATTAAGATATAGATATATCGAGGGATTGTTAAATAATCAAAATATCTGATAGTTATGGTGCATTTCATGGTTGCGTCTTTCACATTGATGTTTACACCGCATTGCTTATTTATCGTTAATCCTTATGAAGATTAGGCAGTTGCAAGACTTACTAATTGGTCGACAGCAGTCACTTGGTGTATGCATTTACTCACTTTGTTACGACTCATTCAATACAGATGTTACATTGTAACAACAGAAAACAAGGGCCAGGCAACAGATCGTTTTATTATGAAAATCAACACGTATTTATACATATTTCACATACATTATTATAGCTTATGCAAGTAGACAAGCGCAGTTATCTGATTGGTTGTTTATCAGAAGTTAGGCAGACAAACGCAGGCTTCTGATTGGTTGTTTCGGGATTCCTCGACAAATAGATTTCTCTATCTGCGAATCATATTTTGCCACGTTTACTTTGCTGTGATTGGTTGTTGAATCAGCCTTGCTCATATTTTCTCACGGCCTGCTCTCACCACAACATGTACCTGGCAGTGATCCACATCTGTTGTATGAGGTCTCATTGTACTACTCAGTTTCTTAGACTGGTTAAGTAGGTGGAGTGAGATTCAGACTGTGCATCTAGCAACTGAAAGTTGATTGTTTATGCCATTAAGCCACACACCTCTGTGTGTTTGTGTTATATTCCCTCTGACTAGATAATGCCAATACACAAGCTTAGATTGCAAACGTGTTTCTAGGTTTTCTTTTGATTTCTCACTCTTCTCTGCTACCCTTTTATTTAAGAATATAATCGTTTTTCATTCAATCATCAATAACTATGTGCTATACGTTTCTGGAATGATTTCATATACTTAGTAGTAGTAAAGTGGTGAATTTGTCTGATCTTAGTCGACAATGAAATGTAAAACTCGTGCTTCGATAAATTTAGAACTCATAAAATGTACAAGACCCCTCGTGGGGACCAGTCGCTGATGTACAGAGCTACCAACCTTCTTGGTGACTGGTAGTAGGTGAAGTAGGATTAGATTCAAGTGCTGGTTTACAGGGTCTTGATTTGTGATTGGTTACAGGATTACATCATGAGCTGATATTGGTTAGAGAACTTTTGGAAGACCTGGAAGTACTGGACAACTGTTTCGTCTGAGTGCTAACGACTCTTCATCAGTTACAAGACAAACTCTTGGGTCCTGGGCGTGAATCCCGACGAGCGCGTACTGATGAAGAGTCCCAAGCACTAGGATGAAACAGCTGCTCAGTACTTCTAGGTCTTCCAAAAATTTGCTTTTCGAAGTAGGACTATTTTTAACTACTTATGTTTTATCAGACAATTCGACTGTTAAAAAACCTGTGAACTTTGCGCTTGTCGATATAAATCAAATAGAATAAGTTAGGTCTATAAAATAAATTCTTTGAAAGATTAACAATTGGTGTCACAGAGCAGCATACAACCTAATTTGATTCTTTTTTTTTAATGCTTCTATTTGTATTATATCCTTCGTTGTTCTATGTTTTGTAATATTTTCCAAACTTACTAACTGTTTTTATAGGATACAGACTCTGTAAGTTTTAGTAACCAGTCTGTTGGATTTATGTGGTTATTAGCTGACTTCTTGACTAACCAGTTGCTTCTTAACCGTTGAATGGCAATTAGAAATCTAATCTATTTACAGTCACGTGCTGTGTATTATTGCTAAAATCCTTGTCATTTATTTTTGGCTTGTCATCTAATATACACCAGTGCGCTTGCGATTTTTCGCTTTCACTATTCTACATAACCGTTCACTGACTCAGTATATGAAACTGATTTTTCTACTTTAAAGGGAAATACACTTCTTACATCACATGACTTCAGTGGTCACTTTCCGTCACTCTCAGGTTTATATTTTATATTTATATTTAAATGATTACAGCTTTATTCCACAGCGTGTTTTCGGTACAAGTATGGAATTTTCAGCATGGATATCGGTAGCCCGAATTTTCCAGGCCGACCATAGATATCAGGTGTGCATCGGCAGGGGATCGAACCTTGGATCATGTGCATGGTCGGCGAGAGTTCTAACCACCGTGCCACCGACGCACATAATGAGATTAAATAATTGACTGGCGTGGTATTGTTTAGGGATACTTTTGTATTCAATTTCTTTATCTCAAGACTCCAGCTGCTCTTTTTTTATTTATTCCTTTACGTTACCAGTGAAGCGTAGGGCTTCAAGCTAAAGAGCTTTGCAGTTTCCGTAGCAGTGATATTTTATTTCGTACGGGATGAGGTTGATAGCCTCATACTCAACACCTTCCCTCTTTACCAGCCTTTTATAACCGGTCTAGGGAGGTCTAGGAGTGCCGCGGTCGAGGATTGGACCCCAGACTACATGTCTGATAGACGAGCACTGCAGCACTTAGCCACTGACACGCACACACACACAAAAGGGCTCCTTGGCCTTTCCTAATCGCTAGACTGCTTACAGAACATCAATTGAATGTTTAGTGTGTCTTACATGGATGCTGTTATGCTGAAGAAAGGTTGGCTTTCTTTTTTCTCGTCCTGTAATCGATTATCCTACTGTTGCAACAATAACAACGATAGTAACAATGATATCTAGCTAGCTATTGTATACATTCTTCTAAATAATCAATTTATTACAGATTTCGAGCAGATTTTTCTCGATTATTGATTATCCTATGCTGTTCTTTTTCTAAAAGTTGTAAAACTGTAAAATCATATTTACAGTTGTTTATCTTTTTTTATCAAGCTCTTAAAAATTTTCTTAACAAAATACTCTAAACTGATGATTTGTGTATGTGTGTGTGTGCATGCGTACGTACGTGAGTGTGTGTGTGTGTATGCCTTTCCATTTTTGTTTTCAAACAGATTATGCCAATAATCGTGTGCCTTTTCGTGGTATCTCTCCTTTTTCTTACAATGAAGAGTTTTTTTTGCTAACTGATGAGCAAATTTCTTTCTTATTGTATACATATTCTGTATTATAGATCGGTTGATAGTGCATCGGCGGCATAGCGGTTAGGATGCTCGCCGACCATGCATATGGTCCGGGGTTCGATCTTCGGCCGGTGCACTCCTTTACCTCGCTAATCCAGAAGTAAAGCTCGTGACGAGAAAAGGTTGGGAATGAGGCTAGCAACCTTATCCTGTAAAAATAAAAATACTGCTACAGAAATTTCAAGCCTCTAGCTTGAAGCCCTATGTTCCACTGGGAACGTGAAGGAAAAAAATGGGTTGATAAGATGGTTTACATCTGTGTATTACGTAATTATATATATATATATATATATATATATATATATATATATATGTCAGTTTGGCATCAATTGTCAGAGAATCCATGATTAACCCAAAGATATATCTCAACAGCCTACAGTTTTTGTATGTGAGGAAATATATTCAACATCAGATTGAAGTTTGAAGTCACACTCTTATAAGGAGGACAAGATATCTTGCCATATTCTCGCTAGTGACTTGTTACAGAAGGAAGTTGCCTGTGGAGTTCTAGTGAGAAGTCGTGACCAGTTAGGTTCATCCAATAGGAAGTTAGCATGGCTTTCCCACTGATGACATTGGCTGGTGCCAGTCGCGCTAAAATCATGAACTGTTAGAAGTTAGAATTCATTAGCTTGCCTCGAAGCTGGAAGGTCCTGGGTTCGAGCCCCCGATAGGGGATGGGTACATATTGGTGCAGAGTCCCAAACTAGGGTAACGAAACAGCTGTCCAGTACTTTCAGGTTTCCCGATGATTCTCTAGCCGATGTCGATCCCCGGCTGACGCACTCCTTTATTTGCGTCGGTGGCACAGTGGTTAGGACTCTCGCCGACCATGCACATGGTCCGGGGTTCGAGCCCACACCGACGCACACCTGATATCTATGGTCGGCCTGGAAAATTTGGGCTACCGATATCCATGCTGAAAATTCCATACTTGTACCGAAAATACGGTGTTGAATCAAGCTGTAAATAAAAAAAATATAAAAAAAAATGAAATCGTATAATTTGATTCCATTCACCTAATTCTAGAATTCACATTACCCTGATTTAACTGGTATTCAATACTCCTTGATATGAGTAGTTCTCAACCTACTTATACCAGTCAGTAGTACATCTCGTAACACCTTTGGAAAGTATACAATATTTGAAAAAGAAACGCGATTGTTTTGAGTTTCGATTTTGGTATATTTATTGATTACAATGCTTAATGCTCTTCCTACTTGTTATATTCACTTAGGATAAGAAATTGGTCGATAATTTTGTGAAACATGCTACTACGCATAATCGAGTAAGCTTATTGATTATATTATTATTATTATTATTATTATTATTTGATAAATGTTCAATTTATTTGGTGTAATTTTAACTGAATGTTTGTTTTCATAGTTTAGTATTCCGTGAATGAAAGGAATTTTTTTAAAACTGTTATTTCGTTGTCAATCTGGAGAGTGTTTTCAAGATCAAATTCACCCTTATTCAATGTGAATTTATTTTCTAATAAACTGATATGCCATTTATGAGTAAACATTTCACAAGCCACAGGTAGATTTCTACACTACACAATCCACAGGATATATTCTGTAAGGGATATAAATTTAATTGCTTGTTTGAGCAGGTCTCAATGAATCACAAGGAATTAAACCTGTAAAAGTCGATTGTGCATCCCTCAAGTCTTCAGAAAGTGAAGGTATTTAAGTTACAGAAAATTTATCAGCTACAGTGTATGTGGAATGTTCTCACTATTTCGATTGCTGTGTAGTTTGACAATACGGCAATAATTACCTGGATATTTGAAGAAAATGAAAGACAAATTCAGCGAAGAAAATGCTTTTTTATTGACGAAATTATCTTCAGAGGTTGCACAGTTGTATTTATATTAACTAAAGAGTTCTCAGCTGTCATTATGCCATCCATTTCGCGTCGGAGTTAGAGATGAACTCGAAATTTCATTTTTGTTTTTGGATGTTTTTCTGAAGAGGAGATCTGATGGTTCTCTTCAAAGATCGATGTGATGAAAACCAACATGGAATGGTTAGTACACGAATTTTTATAGTTGGGTCCCTTATCCTCAAGAATAAGAAGGATATGTTCCAGTGATACAATCGGTGCTGTACTAGGGCGACTCAGATAGGTCCTCATAGAGAATGGATGTCCTCTAAGATTTATCGAGAAAACACATGAAGTTAAAGCAAAAGCCTGAAAGAACCTAGATGGTGCTGAAGAAATCGATGTTTATGAATGCTGAATCTAAAAATGATTCTGCAGCTGAGATCCTGAAGTATCGCTTATTCAGATCACTGAGGAAAGCTTTCTTTATGGCTGAGCTACGTATCAATTTCTACAGCCGACAAATGATCAATGGATGTCTGAAGAATGAACTGCCACTTTGAGCCACCTCAATGTGTGTTAATAAATTCACCTGCTCATGTGGAGCTAGTTATATTGGCCACACAAAGCGCACACTTGAAAAACGCATCTCTGAACATTATCCGTCGTGGTTAGCAAAAGGACAATGCAGTACAGTTACTAGCTCAATTCTCGAGCACTTAGTGAACTCAGGCCACGTAGCTCCACCAGAGTTATCTTTCATGATCATCTACAAGGTGAGGCCGAATGGTACAAAGGGCATCAAGTGTCGGCTTTTACGTATAGCGATCGGTCACAGGTAACCTTCAACCTTGGATTTCGTGCTGGTTGGCAATCACCAGTCAGCAAGGTGTATCTGAAGGATCTCTTGACTTTTGTGGGTCCTGAATTCGTGTCATCAGCCAGTGCTAACTGGGTAAGAGACTTTACCATTGAGCTATTTGGGCTCACCATTGACCTCCTGGCTAGTTTGATTGGACTTTTACTAGTGTAATGTGTCCTAGTGTCAACTAGCACGACACCAAGGTGTAAGACTTCCTATCGATTACCTCTGACCATGTAATATCAACAATTCAAGGTGAACCGTGACGGTGAGCCGACTAGTGGTATGGTGGCCACATTGCAAGCTTGACTGATAGAATCAGTCTGTACTAAACGGAGGACACTAGTTACTGACTAGTGTTCAATCATAGGTTACATGTTTGCAATATGATTAAATTAGTTATTTGTGTAAAACAAGGGATACTAAATACCACTTGTTCTTGTCTATTTATGTATTTACCCGTTATGAAAGAGACTATGTTTGTCGACTAATATACTTAGTCTAGTGACTCTGCTCTACAAATCTGTACTGGAAACATGAATCTATTCAAAATTTCACCTAAATCTTCCTGATGATTAGTAGTAGGCAGACATGATAATGACACCAAACAAGACATCCAGACAACAGAATAAGTTGTATCATTTAAAGTTGCGAACGTAAAATTAGAAAAAGAAATGTAATGATGAAACCGCAATAGAACAAGAGTTAAGGAAGGAAGTATAATTAATAACAAGAAGAGAGGCATGGCGTAAATAGATATTTGTCACACAGAATGACTTCAACACCTATGTCACAACAATCTCCAACTATAGATTATTAACCTCTTGGATATACACCGTAAGTGAAGTAAGTGGTCAACACGCTCTACCACTCCACTGCAGTCCAGTGACATCATCTTAAATTTGGTTGGAGCGAATCACATGCCAAACATTCGCAAATTGCCTTCTGATCGACATGTTCTGAAGACTCTGCATTTTTTCAGCGTCTCTACCTAGAACGACTGTCATCTGCATATTTTAAGTGAATGAGATTATCCCCTGGTAACAAGTCAATCCATGAGTCTCCGAAGTGAGTTAGGGTTAATTCCATTAGTACATCTATGATGAAATTGAATAGAAATGGGGATAGTGGGCATCCCGTCTGGCGGACACCACTAGTTGTCACCAGTCCAGATGACAACTCACCGTAAGCTCTCACCTGGCTGGCTGCATGAGTTTCAGTAGAGTGGCTTGGAGGGGTGGAATTGCATCAGCCAATGCCAGTGGGTTGTTCGCTGATGAAATTTCCGAACGGATGCAGAAGGCCAGTTTCGCATATGCCAGTTTACGCCGTCTCTGACGTATATGTGATATTCGGTCAGCTATCAACCAAAGGACGTGTGCACTGCTCAACACAGCAGACCGCTCTCTCCTTCCTTGTGGCTAGCTGTGAGACTTGTCCATTGAGAGTGGAAGAAATAAAAAGGCTTACTAGCTGTCTTCGGTCATAGGTGCCTGCTTTCTATCTCCCATGTGAAGTGGTATAATACGGTGAGCAATATTGAGGTCAGTCGTCGAGTGCTAGGTGAGGAGGGGAAATCAATCGACGAGGCTGTGAAGCTACATCGACCGAGATGGTTAGGATATGTTATCGCCTTCCTCGACGACGGACAATGCCAGCCGCTTACATAGGATAGATCAGGTAGGAAAAGAGCTGTTACTGGCGGTCAAACCAGAATATGGCGTCATCAGTCAATGAAATCCACAACAGTTAGTTTAAGCCAGCCACGTAGGAAGATGTAGACTTCCTGGTTGAGGCCCTCGGGATAGTCAAAGCTAATGACAGCTGGAGACAATTGGTGATATAGCTCAAAATCTTGATTCTCAATAGCCCGGATGCATCCACTCCTTTTGAGTTATAATACCCAATGAAACTATATTGTTCTTGAATATTACTATTCTTTTCGCCTCAAATCCCTGTCCACTGTCTCTATTATGCATTTCTTCTACTTTCTTCTCTTGTTTTGTGTGCTGAATGAAGTGTGGCGACTTGAACTGCTGCACATCGGTGCAAAATTCTATGTTGAAACCAGTCAGTTAGTCAGTCAGCTATCCCAGCCAGGTAGTTTGCGCCTCCCAGCGTGGCTCTAATCAGCCGTCAAAAATATCATGTGTTGGGTTGGTGCACTACTTTGCCCAATATTTTTTTTTCAACCTAACCCTATTTCAATTTGCCAAGCAGAAAGGCAGTATCTCAAATAGTAGGGCTTCACGGCCTTATCTCTTGACTGCGCCTCCTAACTGCATCACTACTGGTTATTATTATATTGAAAGATAAATATACCACTTCACTATGTTGTGGTAAAAATTGTGTAACATAATTAATTCCTTAAGAAGTCGTCTCACAAGTCAAACCATATTTGAAATTCATTTTAAACGAGTTAAAATACCACATAAAGTCAACTGTTACCTCGTTGCATAAAATGATTGTCTAAAAATTAGAGAAAAAAATCTCCATTACAAGTGTATCGTTGAAATAAGTACAGTGTGTCCATTAAAGAAGTATTCTGGGAAATAAAGTGTGATCAAGTAATATGCATATTGTGTAAACCGTGAGTAATTAAAGTTCAACATATATAGTCGAACAAATTAAAAAATTGGTTGGAGGATTACATCATGAACTGACATCGGTTAGAGAACTACCAGAAAACCAGGTATTACTGGACAGTCATTAAGTCCTAGTTTGGGACTCTTTGGCGTTCGCACCCAGGGTTCGAACCCAGAACCTTCCAGTTACAAGACAAGCTCGTAGGTCTTGGGTTCTAACCCTGAGAGGTACGTACTGAAGAGTCCCAAACCAGGAGGAAACAGCTGTCCAGTACTCCCTGCAAGTTTTCCAATGGTTCTCTAACCAATGTCAGCTCCTGATGAAATCCTTCAACCAATCGAACGTAACCTCTACGAACTAATACTTAAAAGATTGAAAATTAACTGAAGTCATCACTCTTGTCATGGTGTGAAACTGCATTAATGTCGCATGACAGCAGAGCCAATGGGACAACTGTTTTAGGCCGGTCACACACGACCTGTTTGCATCTGTCTTTTGATTTACCTTCGCACTAAGGTCTCAATCGGTTGTGACGGATCGCTGCAGGTAAGGCGGCATGTACAATTTCCGCGGTCAACCTTTTCTAACTGCTATCCGTCTCTAGAGCAGAGAAGGAGCACATTTTGGCATGTTTTTTTATTATAATAATAATAATGATTTACTTTATTCCAAAAACAGTACTTGTGATACAGAATGGAATTTTCAGCATTAATCACAATATTGCATCTAATTTCCTCAAATTATAAATAAAATTAATCACACAGAAAATTTTCCACATTTACAATAGAGGTAGTGTCAAAAACATGCAGCATATAAAATGGAAATAACAATAATAATGATAACAGCTAGGGTAATAATAATAAGAATACAAGTGAAAATTGCCGTTGGCTTGTGTCACACAGTATTGTCAATGTGGTATAGAAATCCTAACATGTTTAAAAATATTGAATATAATGTTCTCTTTACATGATATGGTGAGGGGAAAAAAAAGATTACAGCCGTCATGGAGATAA